GAAGAAACCACCAAAGTCTCCGCCGAAAGGCAACTATGAGCGCATTATTCAATGGTCATTTATCGAAGCGGAGCGGTCTGGAAGTACTGTGAGTGATCAAAGGTTAGCGGATCGACGAGCTGGGAAAAAAATTGCCCAGCTCGGCGAACAAGGGAACCAATCGTCCCCCCCGCTCAAGGTGTCTAGCGATATCGTCGCTAACGATTCGAGGATGGTGCCCGGTTATAACAATCTTGAAGATTACCTGCCCGACGATGTACATTATGAATTCTTGGAGGTGGACGAACACAGATACAAGTACGGGAAGCCTCTCGTCAAAGATGAAAGGTCTCTAACAACGATGATGCGAAGATTCCATGATTGGTACATGAAAACCTGCAGAGAGTCTGGGGGGGCGAATACTTTGACGTTGAGAGTTAAAGAGGAGCATGACCTCGTTGGAACTGGTCTGTTGAATGTTCCATTTGAGGAGTTCTTCCCGTTTTTTCATCAGAGGACCCTCGATAAATTAACGGTCACTTGCTACTGTCTGTAAGTACTACTTCTGTCATTAAATCTCTATATATAGGTCAGCTCTTTCATTGCATGTATTTATAATTATTGTCACTATATTATGCAGATTGAAGATCACCGAATTGAAGAAAAGACAAATCGGTGATATTGGGTTCATTAATCCAAATATCATAGATGCATATTCGTTTGAATTTCAGAACAAAGATACCAAGGCCAACTTGCTACGATCGTTGGTATTAAATCGAAACAAAGCTATAATACTCTTTCCTTACAACTTCAAGTGAGTGTTACTTTCTTGTGCATATTCGGTTTCCCTTATTAGTCGAGGTTATAGTAATGTAATTGATGAGTTATGCATGCGTGCGCAGGTTCCACTATATTCTCCTAGAGATTAAGCTCGAGCAGGGACTAGTAACCGTCTTAGACTCGAGATGAAAAGATCCCAAGGAGTATGCGGACATGACTCAAATTCTCGAGAAGTAAGTTAAATCTATCATTATCGCACCATATCGGCAACCGCGCAGCTCCTAGTGATTCACCTCAAAAGCTCCGGAACTGCCGAAGATGCTGGAATTTAAACACCCGAAAGTAAGTACTACTAGCATGTTCCGCGCATCTCGTAGTGATTCAAGTGCTAGTTTCATCAATACCATTTAGCATGCTTTCTTATCAGTTTGATTGACCTCTATTTCTTGTAAAGTGGTTGTCGCAGGAAGCTGGAAATAATTATTGTGGATACTACGTTTGCGAGTCCATCCGCCACACAACCTGTGAGCGGGGCTATACTAAAAAACAATATGAAGTGCGTAAGCAATAATATTCAGAATTTTACTTTATTACCATCTTTTGTGTTGAGTTTCATTCATTCATATATATGTATTGACCCCCTTCTTCAAACTAGATGTTTCGGATGAGGGATGAACTCCTAGCACCAGATCGCATGCGAGGAATTCAAGAGGAATTGGCGGCATTCTTTCTTGACCACGTGATCGATAAAGACGGAGAATATTTGGCTTTGGGCTCGCCGCACTGGCCACGTGGAGGCCCATCTGTCCCGGTTCGTGTAAGAACCGGGACTAAAGGCCTAGGGTTTTAGTAACGACCCTTTAGTCCCAGTTCGAAAACCGGGACAAATGGCCCTTTTTCTACTAGTGCAGAACAAGGCAACCAAACAACAAATGTAAATTAATTGGCTCGGATTCAAATTCCGAGTTTACTCGCCATCAGACAACAAAACTTGAACTTTTTTAGAAGGAATATGACCCCGGGCCTCTGCATCTGGGAGATGCATGCATCCACTTTATTAATTATTCATAAAGACCTTACAAAGTAATACATCAGTATGTCTGAAGCCGCCATCTTGGCAACATCTGTTGCTACTCCTATCCATTAATGAAGGGTGCAGAAAGTGTGAGCAGAATACCCAGACCTCTCACCTAAGCCAAACATCTAAAGCCGGAGGCCCCAACCAAGCCACATTCCAGGTCTGGGGCAGAAACCGGTCCGACGCGCTGGCGTAGGTCGTCGTCGCCGTGTTCCATCGATCCATCTCTGGAGCAGATACTGACGCATAGACCTTGCCAGGCCTGTTGTCGATGCCACCACGGCGCCAGACAACACCTCCTTCCTATGTGTGCCCATCATCACACATCCGTTGTTGAGGCCCTGTCGCGCCATGCCACCGAGACTCCACGTCGTTGATGCGTCACATGGAATGCCGCTCCACTGCAGATGCCATCCACTGGTCCCTCGCGCCTATGCATACCTCCAAGAATGACGCCCCAAGAGGGATACGATACAAGAGCGCCACTATCATCCGATCGACCGATCTAGGGTTTCCCCTGGAGTTGGCGGACAGGGGTCTAGAGCATGTCCACGGTGATGCCTTCAAGAAGGAGACACCATAGAAAACGCTGCCATCGCCGGCCTTGGCAACAAGCCACGAGTAGGGTTTTCACCCGAATCCGCTTGGGGAACCTCCATCCAGCCTCGTGTGCACGGGACCGCCACCAATAACTGCCACCGCGCATGGAGCAGGCTGCACCGGCCAAATCAGATCTGGCCGAAGGCCAGACCACACATACAGCCGATCCATCCACCAGACCCTCTGTGCCGCCACCAATCTGAGATCCGGCCAGCCAGAGAGCCGCCTGTCGCCGTCGCTCCATAGGACCCAGCCAACCGCGCCTCCACACTTTGGTGGCCCCACCCCTCCCCAAGCCGTGGGAGAGAAGGAGATACCCCTCGCCGTCGCCATCTGCCCTCGGTCTTAGCCCAGCGGCGTCACGCGGCGGCGGCGATGGGAGGAGAGGAGATAGTAGACTGCACGTTGTAATTGTTCAACCCATTTCTCGACTCATTTGGTATTGACCTCATTTTAATTCCTCGAGCCCCATATCTACATCCAAATATAAATTCTTTCTTTTCTCCGGGATCTAATTCTTCATGTGTTGTCTTCTATGGTCAATAATTTAGTTAAATCTCAAACGCCAAATGCATAACCCAAAGCCAAATTTACTTTGTATTTCTCATGTTTCTAACGAAGAGTATATGCAAAATATCTCATGTGAAAAGCTACTCACAAATATCTCATGCGTCTAACCCAAGAGTGCATGCAGAAATATCTCATGTTTAAAGCCATGCAAACTCGTGCTGTTGACATATCCAAAACCAAAATATCCTATGTTTTTAACAAAAGGAGTACGCAAAATATCCCATCTTAGAAGCAATAATGCAATTTGTTTTCCTATCTGCCGAGTTGTTGTTGTTGTTCAGTACTAGTCATCACTCGGTACTACGTACCTATCTCGTAGCAACGCTAGATATTCTGATGGAATCATGCATCAGTAAATTGCTTTAGCGCACACTTTATCCTCCAAGTTGCATAACACGCTTAAAAGTGGCACACTCCAGCAACAACACACTGCACGCGATACATCATCCTAGTCGACGAAGACTACAAGATATGTGGAGAGCGATGGGCAGGCCTCACAGATCACAGATGTGCTTTGTTTCTTTAGAGTAAAACTGAGCTTCTCATCGCAGATTGCAGGCCCCTCGTGGTCTCAAGCCGAGCAGGAGGATTGTCGTCGAATCAGGCAGCCGCACCCACTGCGCCCATGTTTCGCTATAGACCAGCTCAGTCTAGTTTATATTAGTTCGAGAGATCCATGGAGCGAGCCAGCTGCGGAACCACAAAACCGGAGTTGTTTTACTAATCACTCGAATAGTCGGACGTGACATGTTACAAAGGTACTCCTACCGGAGAAGATCAACGGGATGGCCAGAAAAAAGAAGCGGGGAAATGAATAAATATCGGACGGTTGGCCGACACAGCTGAGAGCTGACTCATGATTCTGCTCGCTGGAGTAGTGTAGGTTAGTAGTGCGGGCATGGACCACCCCCACGCGCCCCGGTTTTGATTTGGCCGTTCGTTCAGCAACCTGATTAGCATGCCAGCTTGCGGCTTTGCAACTTGGTCACTAGTGTATGTGCCTAGGCCGTCTTCTAGAGGAAGAAGGGTTTGTGCTAGTGGACGTATGTGCTATGTGGGTCCAAAAGAAAAAGTCTTTTGCAGCTGGGGGGGATTTTCTCAAGGAAATAGTATCTTGCGTGCCACTTGTGTTCACCGGACGTGTACTTTGGCACCTAGGATTATGTGTTATTGTGTGCCAATGGAAGCACAATTATTAAGGTTAACATGCAACGGTTAACGACGGGGTATAAAGACCAAAATACCCTTGTTCGATGGTGCTTAGTCAATGATACTACATGGGTAGGTTAAGCACATGTGGGGAACATCTCAAACTTTGATTGTTGTCGTAACCGCATGATGCGAGAAACGTTCGATGGGCGAAGCCCAAAACTCAGAACCATGTACTAGCATACATGACCGTTGTGCCGCTCGGAATAAGAACATTACAATCATCCGTGTTTTTAGACATTTAAACACCAGCATTTTTTACAATACTTACAGAAGGCATTTTAAAGTGTACTAAAATTATAAAACAGTGTACCTGACACCTATACAAACCAGTCTTGTAAAAACTAGTTTACAAAAGACATTTTCTTGAACATATAGAGAATCATTTTTATAGTTTATAATGTTGAAAATGTCTCATGACTAGCCAATCATACAAAAATAACAACGCCATCCTTTTTTTTTCTTCCGGGAAACGCAAACTTTTTTCTAAGGGCTGGGAAACGCCAATTTCATTGTTTATCTCGCCCAACTACAAAGTCTGAAAGTTTAGCAAACAAACATCCAAGAAATGGGAAATGCACCAGGAGAACCTTGCTCCACATCTTGCGTCCTAAACTTAATTTCATCCGCCACAGAGGGCCAAAGTGAAAAGGTATCCCACCCTCCCTGATATAAGGGGGTCTCTGGCTTCTCTACTCTCCTCCCCCTCTCCGTTCAGCCATTCCTAGCTGAAAAGAAAGAGAAGCATTACCAGTTTGCACAAGAAACTACTCCGTCGATCTCCATGGAAATCTACGGTGACCTCGAGGCCGGCTGCCTCAGCCATTCCGTCTCTCCCATCAAGCCGGCGTCCCCGCCGAGGAAGGCCGGGCCCGGCCGCCTCTTCTGCGACCCCTGCGACGACGCCGACCAGCTCCTCGGCCACCACCACTACCTGGACATCTGCTTCAGCTGCCGGAAGCTCCTCGCCGGGAACAAAGACATCTTCATGTACAGGTGAATACACGCTACCACTGTCCTACCGGCCCTGATCTCTCCTTTTTGTGACCTCTGCCCAAGAATTGTCTCTGATGGTGGCTTGGTTTCTTTGTGTTGCAGAGGTGACACGCCCTTCTGTAGCGAGGAGTGCAGGCAGGAGCAGATCGAGATCGACGAGGCGAGGGAGAAGCGGTCGAGTCAGACGGGGAGGGCGGAGGAGCAGCGGCAGAGACAGCAGCAGAAGCAGAGCACCCCGAGGATCCCGGTCTGGGCGTGGTAGCTGCTCTCCGGCGACCAAGCCGAACGTAGGATTTTCAGCAGCAGTTGATGAACAAAAGCTCGATGATGAGTTGGGCAGTCTAGATCCAGCTGAGGGAAGCTTGGGTCGCCGGTTCGACGGGACGACCACCGCCAGCAGCAGGCGGCAAACCTGCTGCATCTTATGCTGTCTCTGAACCGCAGGGATGGGTTCTCATCCTTTTGATCTCCGAAGATGGAGACTAAGAGTTAAATTTTGCGTGTGAATTATCGCTGGTTTTTTGTTCTTGTGTCGCGTAAGGTGTACCATAGCCTGTCGATATGAAAAAAAGTGAGAGGCCTAACAAAAGCTCTCTCAGTTTTCTCATCGGTTCTGCTGTGTTCTTTCCGATTGTTCCATGCTTCCACGGATGCTTCCGCTCATAACAGTGGACGCAATATAAGATTTAAAACTGAATTTTATCCGGTTTGGCCCACGAACACAATCGCCGTTCTGTACTGCAGGAATTTAAGGCCGTTCCTGTTTTTTGGACAAAAAAAATGAAAAATACGGGAGGCCGTTGCCCGCTACTGTGTGCATAGAGCGGAGGCAGAGGACCAGCCAACGGCCCTGTTGGCTCTTGGTGGAGCAGGGCGCAGGTAAACTCTGGAAAGTTCAGAGAGAAAACAAATGATGCCTTCCAATTCTTACTGAATAAATGATGGCCGTGAACGAACGAATTGTTATTAATTAGACGTTTGCTTCAGCAAGAAAAGCAAAGAAGCAGTGTGCTCAACATGAGCAATAAAGTTCCACACATACCTTACGCCGTGAGTGAATGAAGTAATAAAGAAAATAAAGATCTTCTCTTTCGGCCACACAGCCGGGGGTTTCATTCGCGAGGCCTGTTTCTTGGAAACTTACACGAGGCAACGGCTAGCAACAAGGACTGGCGCGTTTTACTTCACCATTTTTCTGTCCACGAAAGCTGCCTGGCCAGTGGATCTCCGGTGTACACCTTACGCCGTGCAAGGCCCACCTGTCAGCTGCCGTCGTAATAATACATAAGAAAACAAAGACTCGTACGTGTAACATGTACAAATACGGTTATACGGCAACAATGCCGCCGATGCTTCTAGAGCGACCTGCCTGGCCTCATACCCTGCGCAGATCGCCGTGAACATACGCTAAACTACACAAAGCATGCTTGCCCTAGTACCCGGCCATTTTTTTGACTAAAAAACCGTGGCAACAACAAATCTATCTCGTCCAGCCCAGCAAGCCCGTAGATTTCACCTTGCCTGCATGTGCAGCGGAGAATCGTTTAGGCAATCTAGGCGTTAAATAAACAAGCTTATTCAAGGCTTCATTAGGGGGGAAGCCAATAATCCTACATCTACGTACAGCAGACGAAGACTAACGTAAACTGCCTAACTAATTAACTTCGGCCCCCCTGATTTTCAGGTGGGTGGGGCCCTTTTCTTCCCCTTCTCCAATACTAATTAGCCACGTTGCACTTTACGTAAAACACGTAACATTATTTACGTAAGTGTAGCATTGCTCGGGGGGAAGCTCTCGGATTCCCTCGCCACGTTACGGCCACCTACGAACGGCCGGACGGAGCCCATGCACGCACGGGGCGTCGGGTCGTTTTGCCTTCGGCCGGGAGGAACCGGCTCGCCAAAGGCATCTCGGGTGCCGGTGGTTCGGGGGGCACCGGCCGGAGCCCCGCACGTGGCCGGATCGCGCCCATGCGCACGCCGTGGTGCTCTGCGCCAGCCAGCGCCGCCCCCCGACGACCTCCCGCCTGCCATGCCCCCTCCGCTCGCTACACGCAGCGAACGGACCGAAGCTCCGTCTAGTCGCCGCCATGTGACCCTAAAAAAAGTTCCATGGCCGTTCTAGCAGTTTGTTGGTTATTACGGTGGACGAGATTCTATCACGGCGTGTCACTGTGGCACCGGTTAATGTCTCGGCGTTGGTCGCCGTGAACGAGATGCTACGGCGTGTCACTGTGGCACCGGTTGATGTCCCGGCCTTGGACTGGCCTGGAGTGTTGTTTTCTCGGAGGAGGACGACGACGGCGAAGACGAGAGATTTGAATGGTAAACCGTAAACAAGGTGCTTGCTTACAATGGTTTTAATGGCGGGCCGCTTTCGACGACGACGGGCGCTCTTGTCGTGCTCTGACCTAAAAGGACGCCTGCGAAGGCGACAAGAGCTGGTGCTCCCATTTTTTTTCTCCCACGGGGGCGGGAGGGGAGGGATGTGCTCATTCCGCGCTGTCAAGACAATGACACCCGGTGACATATGTACAATTCCACGGGTTGCATAATTTACCTGCAACTTGGCAGGAAAACAAAACAAATACTATGGGAGGTGCTGTCATTTCCTTGCTATCCTATTGCATCTGAATTGGTCCAACAAAGACCGTATTCAGTCTAGTGCAGTACAATGCGTCAATGGGTGCAGACTATTTCAGCACATGTCCGCTGGGTACAGCGGTAAACACATGGATGGATCATGTTCATCAAACCTAAGTTATGTAAGCATCTTATACAACCTAAACCGCAAATGGCTAAGGAGAAGTATTATCCGATTTCATTTCTCTGTGATTTACCATGCGCAAAGATCGATGCGCAAATGGCTTTAATTACATGCGGCCATGCAAGGGTCCTTTGGAGGCCATGCATGAGTTCTGGCCGTTATTGGCGACGGACCAACTGATAGAAAATGGCAAGGAGTGACTGTTACATGTTTTATCTGGATGTTTTGAGCAAGTTCGTGACATGATTATTTTGTTTATTTGGTGTATTTGGAGTCTTAGGTCAGATATAGCACATGGCAAGGTACGTAGCTCCTCCGTTGGAAATAAGTGTTGATTTCTTGGTCAGTTATCTAAAGTCCCTAGATCTTGCTCAGAGATATAGCACTGAAAAGATTCTCAAAGGTAAAATGACCCTGCTGGAGGTCCGGACTCCGGAACCTATGGGTAGCCAGCGTGTGCCATGGCCTCGTCCTCCAGTGGGCTAGGCGGCGCTCTCGGTCGATGGCTCCTTTTCTGTTTATGATGGCTCCGTTGTGACTGGTATGGTGCTACGATCTCATGACGGTTCGGTCATCTTTGCTGCTTATAGGGTTTTATTCAAATGCAATGATGCTCTTGAAGCAGAGATCCATACGCTTATGCAAGGCATAAATTTAGCTCTCCAACACACAGAACTGCAAGTCATCGTCCAGTCAGATTCAATTGAGACTCTGCCCATCTTATGAAATGAGAATCTCTCACGGTCACCTTATGGGCACTTGGTAGCTGAGGTCAAGGCCATGATGGAGGAGAGGGAGTTTATTCCCCAGAAGATTCGTAGGGATCAAAATAGAGTAGCAGATTGTCTGGCTAATTCCAGCCGTACATAATCGTGTACTGCCATTTGGCTTCAGAGACACCCTCTGTGTATCGAGAATCTCTTGTTAGTATATTGTAAGGGAACCGCTAAATCTCAGTCGACTGAGATTTAGTGAAGTCTCAGTCAACATATTGTCCATTGGATTGTTTGTCTGCTTGAAGATTAGTGCGCTGCTGGTTTTTGCTTAAAACTGGCCCGTGTAGGGAGGTACAGAGAGATGGGCAGCTGTTTGTCTTTGCTTTTGCTTTTTCCTGTCGGGTTTGGGTTTGCTCGCGTGATGGGCTAGCGAGGGGTTGGAGCCTTTTTCGTTGTCAGTTGGCTCTTTTTCGTTTTTTGTTGCACTGCCATTTTTTGGTTGTTTTTCATTTTTCATTTACTCTTTTGTACAGTATATGTATATGTCTGATTTTATTTTTTTATTTTTTTTCTTCCTGTATTTTTTGTCTCTTTTTTACTTATTTTTTGGTTTTGATATTCTTTTTTTATGTAATGTGAGTTGTGTGAATGTTTATATTGCAACCTGCAATTGCATGTGGCGCAACTTGGTGCTAAAAATCAGTCCACTGAGACTTATCTGGCCGTTCGATGATTGTCGCTTCAAGATTCACGTAATATAATGTTTTGTATCAATTCGGCCTGTTAAGATGCGACCAACCCACTTCTTTTTTATTTTTTTTGCCGCGAAAGGCTACGCGCGTCTGACCAGTGGCTGGATGGCCTTTTCCGTTGTTTTGCTTTTGCCTACAACAAGCAGGAAACTTGCTAGCGCAGCCCACTCTCGTATATACCTGCACTTTCTTTTTTGTTTTTATTTCCCTTTTCTATTTTAGTGTATATAATCATCAATTTATTTTTATTAAAATGGTCTATTTGTAATTTCTTTTTATATTTAGGCAATACGGAACATGTAAATTTTGTAGAACCGACTTTTTTTACATGCATGAAGGATTTTACGCTCACTTGTTGATGTCTTTTGTACATGGATTTTTGTATATTTGTATGTCGCTTGTTATTTTTTGTATATGGATTTTTTGCTTATTTGTATGTTGCTCGTTCTTTTCTGTAATTTTTTTGTTTCATTCATGTATTACTCAGGAATATATTTTTTGTAATGTTGATATGCCCTATTTTTCCTACATCAGGTTGACAGATAAACGGTTGCCTTTTCTTTTTTCTTTTTGTCACAAAAACTCTTGTTCCCCTTACGTACAACTAGAATTATCAGAATCCATGCAACTACGAGGGTGCTAACACGTATGCAATTGCATGCATCCAAAACTACATGCAACTCAATGGATAAAAAGCGTCCGCAACTGTGACGAGACTTGTGTGGCGATGAGATCGAAACACGCACAATATGGGGAATTTTATTATTTAACTTTATTTTATTTTATAGTTTTTGTACTTTCTTTTTCCCATCTACATGGAAGTCGACATCCAATGGGATATTCAATTTTCTTTTGTTTTTCATGCAATTTGCCCCGTCGATGAGGTGTTTCTTTCTTTCTTTTTATTGCTCTTTTCAAACCTTCTCTTGCTACCTTTTTTATTTTACATTTTTTATTAAATAACTGTTTCACTTTTGAAAATTGGAAATGTTGCCATCTAGTTGCACAATCGGCCCCGACTGCAACT